ATCCTGCCCGGTTTTCCACTGGGGAGGAAGGTATGGATCCATTTTCCTCCATTTCTGGGGTCCCAGCCTGCTAAAATTCCTTCTTCTCCTCCTTCCCTGCTCCCCATTTTCAGAGCTGTTTTCCAAGTCCTCCTGGAGACTTTCAGATGGAACTCCAGCACCAGGGCTGGGATTCTCCCACATTGATCCCTGATTCCCATTGTCCTCCAGGAGCAGGGCTGGACTCTCCCACCCCCATCCCAGATTCCCATTTTTTCTACAATTTTTTCCTATCATTTTTTTCTCCAAAGGGCAGCAAAGCCCTTTGGAGAGGAAAGGCCAATGAAAGGGAAATGAGGGGAAATGAGCAGTAAATGGAGCAGGGAGAGGGATAAACCCCAAATCCCCTGTTTATTTATCCCAAATCCAGGATGGGGCAGCAGGAAAGGCAGCAAAGCCCTTTGGAGAGGAGGTCAAGGCAGGATCTCCCACCTTGATCCCTGATTCCCATTTTTTTCCATCAGCAGGGCTGGGATCTCCCACACCCATCCCTGATTCCCATTTTCCTCCCAAAAATTTGCCTCTGTGGCCACGCCCCCTCCTCTCCCTGTTCCCCCACCTCAACCCACGCATTCCCAATTTTTTGGGAGCCTGGCAGGAGCTGTGCCATCCTTGCTCCTCACATCTCCCATCCCTTTGGATGCTGCAATTCCCGGGAAAACTGACGGCATTGGGGGGGGGGAGGGGAAAAGTCAAACCTTAATAAGACATTAAGACAACAGATTCATTAAAAAGTCGTTAATCCCTGTCAGGAGCAGCTTTAATTAACAAATGCCAGGAACTGCGGCACTGCCACCGCTCCTGTGACCACCTGAGTGCCGCTAATTAAATGCCAGTTAAAATTCCCCGGAATCTGGCAGCGCGTTTTCCGCCCGCTGCCAAGATTTTCTCCGCAGCCTCCGAGTTCACCTCGTTTGTCATTGTCCTCCCCGTGCTGGAGCACGGGGGTTCTTGGAAAACATTCCCAGCTTTCTCCTCCCCTCCCCAAGAAAGGCTGCTTCTCCACGGTTTTTTGTTTTTGCCAAATTTCAGTTTCTTCCTGGATTTTTGGAGCTGTGGGAGTGTTGGCTGTGCTGTTTTCCATGGAATATCATCCTCCTGGTGCTGGGATAAGGTTTAGCAGGAGATGTCCCTGCTCAGGGGCTCAATGACCTCCCTTCCAAACCATTCCATGATTTTGGGAAGATTTTCTTCATCCAAGACTCCTTCAGCATCCACAGCCAGGAAAAATCCTCATTCCTCCTCCTGCCCAATGGGTGACAGCTCCGGTGGGACCCTCATTCCCTGAGGATGCTCCTTGGCCTTCCCAAAAATCCCTTGGGGAGGAAATGGGGTACATCTGCCCCACTGGGAATGTTGGGATTCCCTTCCCTTCCCTTCCCTTCCCTTCCCTTCCCTTCCCTTCCCTTCCCTTCCCTTNTGCTCCTCCAACTCCGTTTTTTTCCATTAATATTTTGCTGATGGATTTCTTGGCTCCCGTGCTGGAGCCAAGAGCCAAATCCAAAGGAACTTTTGGAGAGAGCTTTCCAGAAAGTGCATCCAGAGCTGCCCGTCCCCAGCAATCCCAGAGCCATCCCGCTGGGAAGGGCAAGGGAGGGAAGGAAAACGGAGCCAGAGCTGGGAGTTCATCCCAAAAATCTCCTCCCGTGCATCTGCTGCAGGAGTCACTCCATCATTTATTTTTAAAATCCAAAGCTGCTCGCAAGGAAATTTTCCAGGTGAAATTTGCCCATGGAATTATTTTCTGGGAGGAACTGTCTCAGTTCCAGTCGTGCCCCAACAAATCCGAGCCGGTGCTCGGGATAATTCCATGGGAATAATTCCGTCCTGAATGGTTTGGGAGCATCTCCAAGGACTTTCCGTGAGTCCTGATCTTCCCAAAAACCCCAGGGTGTTGTTGGATGCACGGAGCTGTCTCTTCCCAAAGAACACTCTGCAGGATTTGCCCTCATTAATCCTCACCCTGTCGTTAACCACAGCATTTAATTAATAAATTAGCATCTGGTTAGGCACGGACAGGACGTGGATCAGCAGGAATGAGTCTCCTGAGGCCGTGGGTCTGCTGCAGTGTTGGGAATACCGGGCAAGGCCAGGAAAATCCCGTGGGAAGCAGCGTGAGATGGATCTGGGCTGGTTCTGCTGTGGTCACCGGGCAGAATAATTCCTGGAATCTGGAAAAGGAATCTTTACCAGGACACAGGGAATGGCTTCCCACCGCCAGAGGGAAGGGATAGATGGGATATTGGGAAAGAATTCCCAGCTGTGAGGGGTTGGGATGGAATTCCCTGAGGAGCTGTGGCTGCCCCTGGATCCCTGGAATGTCCAAGGCCAGGCTGGATGGAGCTTGGAGCAGTCTGGGGCAGTAGGAGGTGTTGGGAAGTTTTTGGGATCCTTCCTGCCCAACCCATCCCGGGATAACGCCATTCCAGCCAGGAAAGGAGCCTGGATGCATCCCAGTTCCAGCAGCAACATTCCCGTGCTTCCACCCCATTCCAGAGCCGTTCCCTCTTTCCTGAGACCTCGGAATGATCCCAGCCATGATCCCAACCCCATCCCAGATTTGGGATTAGCAAACAGGGGATTTGGGATTTATCCCTCTCCCTGCTCCATTTACAGCTCATTTCCCTTTCACCTCCGGCTTTCCTGGGAATGCTCTGCCGGTGTTACAAAACCCAGGAATTATTATTCAAGGGAAGGAGTGGGAGAGAGGCTGGAGATGCGAAGCGCGGGAGCGATCCTTAATCATCCCCATCATTAGCTAATTGCCGGAGTCGAGTCCATTCCGAGGAGAACATGGAATGCTAAATTTAGACGGAGCATCGGGATCTATTCTGGGGGATTCGTGCTCTCCCCGCCGCGGATTCTGCCTCCCGCTATTCCCGGGAATGTCAGCACCGGGACTGGAGGAGCAGCGCCAGCCTCGCCTGCCGTGGGCTCCCAGCAGGAGTTCCTGGGAATGCGGGAATGCGGCAGGGCCTGGAAAATGGGTGGAAGGAGGATCCTGATGGATCCTGCACGTGGATTTTTGGGTGAAAATGTGTTGTGTGCACGGTTCTGATGGTGC